CAAATCGATCTTTAAGTCTTTTAACTATTCCTCAAATGGCTTATATTCATGGAGGATTTCATACTGTACTTATGGTTTTTGAAAATGAATATTTGAATATTTACTGGAGCACTGGTTCCCAGCAGCTGATTTAATACTGGAAATCTGCTTATTAACTCAACACAATTAAATAAAATATAAGAACTTTATTAAAACGTATTGTACCTGTAATTAACACAGTTCTCTACTGGAAAGTTACAAGTAAATTCTGAAGAAATGACAGGAGCAGTAAAATAAAGTGTTACCAAAATGGGTCCAACAATAATATTTTCCTCATTATATTTAGCAGTGACATATTACTAATATAAATGAATGGGAATTATTTACCCTTAAGATTAAAGATACAGTAAATGTCAACTATAATAGAACAAAACATTGCAAATTAGGAATTCATGTGATCCTTCATGTCCCTTGATTGTGTCATTACAAAGACAGAATACCTTTTCTTTTTAATCCGCCCTGATGTGTCCCTATGTTTGTGTTTGTCATTATACGTGTGTAAATGATGCTCCTTCCCCCGCTACCTCAACCGTGGTTTTCTGTCGTCCATGAACACACCGGGCCTCTCCTCCTACTCTCATCATCAGCGTCAATCTGTGGCTGTCACTTGGAGCCGGACAGTGACTAACGACACTCCCAGTCAGTCAAACACTTATCACCACACAGGTAACACACAGGCCTGGAAATGACTGACATGAAATGGAAACGTCTCTCATTCTGTGGGCCCGGGAGCTGAAGTGAAATATTAGCTGTGGGAGAGATGGCAGATGATAAGAGGCTCCCTGTTTGGGCTGGAATTGTGGAGGTCCAAGTTCTATTACATTTCTTTTTACGCTGAGGAGAGGCATGAAGATCCTGTTTTCTTGGATAAAGGATCGTTTCCCCTTTCCATTACCCTTCTTGTATGCACCTTTTCACTATTTTCTTCACAATACGCTTTAAATTTGCCAATGAGCCACACTCTAACTTTCATGATGAGCTATTTGTGACTTGTTATAGTAGTAAATGGTGCTCATAGCCAGTGGTGCATTGTTGGTACATACGCCATTGTCCCTGAGGCTTTCTGTGGTCCACAGAACCAGACCATAGGCCAGTTAATACCAGGCTGCAGCCCGCTCAATGTCAATGGGTCACATATGCTTACACTGTTTCTCCTATTACTCATAGACTTCAGCATGTCCTCCCTCTTTTTCTTTCTCTCACACATCTCCTTCATGCACGCACACACACACACAATTCCCTCTGTGCAGAAAGATGGATGGGATGTTCCCAAACCACAGGTGCTGCTCTACTTGTGAGTCTTTCGCATTCTTCACCACACAGTCCAGGCCTGCTCAGTTTTTTACTTTTTACTGTTTTCCCCAGTGGTGATTACTATGGTACTTCAGTTGTGGATAATGAGGAGCATAGAATATTAGTAATACAGTATACGATCAATCTGCCTGTCTATTTAGAGCTCTTTGGGAATGAGATTCTTTTGCAAGAACTCGACAAACCTCATGAACTTGAAACTTTGATGTCCAACGCTGCTCCCCAAGACATGGCATCCTATCCAGACCGCCACTAGATGGGGTTAGTTTAATTTCCAACTTGTGTGTTTGCTGGTAACTTTCCCTGAAACCTAAACCACATTCTTACTCTACTGTGCAAGCTGCGCCACCTTGTGGTGGATATTATCAGTCGCCTATAATAAATTAAAGCAAAGCTCACACTGTCAGAATCAGTTTTATTGCCAAGCATGTTTTCACATACAAGGTAAATTGGTGCGTAATAACAATAAACATAGACAAATATAAATATAAATAAACAGAATAAAAAGAGACCAATATATACAAATATAAAAGACAATATGTACAATATGAGTATGTGTGTGGTTGATGTGTCATCCAGACAGTGCAAGGAGTGAACAAAATAACACCACAATAAAAGGCAGGGATTCCAGGGGGTACTTGAAGAGACCGTAAAGTAGTTCAGCTAATTTGTAAAAATAGATCCAAAAATGTACCCATACATTTTGTGTTTAGGAGGAAAATAAACACTCAAATGGGATTGGAAATTGGTGGGATATAGACAGAGTTGGAATGAGTATGTTCACGGGTTTACTTGGGTATTCCCATGTTATGCTCCTTTATGCTCCTTATCCTCTGCAAGAGGCAAATGTTGCACTTTTTACTCCATTGTATTTATAACCCAAAAGCAGTGTCTAACTGGGGCCCCTTGTCCTGTTTCAGATGTGTCAGGATTTTCAGAGTGATTTCCCCTCTAAACCTCAAAGTTTCACTTACTTAACTGTTTAACATTGAAAGAAACCATACTATATAATATTTCAGATATAAAAATATGTGAAAAAAGACTTGTTTCTTCTTTCAGATTTATCAGATTTGGTCATTTGGAAGACCCTGACCCTTAGGTCGGGAACCACTGGACTAAACTGAATCTAAAGTAGTTAAAATTAGCTCAACCTAAACCAGCTACAACAGTAAAATGCTGCTTACACATTGATGCATCAGTAACAAATCATGTCATATATAGTAATCAGTCACAAGGGACTTTTTACTGCAGAACTTTTACTTTTGTTTTTGTTAAAACTTCTGTATTTCTCTTAGGTAAGGTAAAAATACTTATAGTGGAGTGGAGTGTACTTTTTGTGGTATTGGTAATTTTACTTTAATAAATAGTACTTCCACAACTGGTCTGTGATCCTAAGTAGATTTATTTGTACAGTAGTCAACTATGGTCACTCGGAGCACCTTATCATTAAGTGTTGAGATTGAGTGTACTTGAAAACTAGTTAGCAAAAAGTCTCCAAAAACCTAAAAAAAAAGAAGAACAATTGATTGAGTAATCCAGTTTCTTTCTGCACAAATGGTGGTTGTATAAATGCAATCTTGGCTCACTACTAAAATGCAAGCTTAAACATCAACAGAAACACTATGCCTTGTATAAATCCAGTATCAAACAATTGAAAGGGTATTAAAAAGGGGTACTCCTGCCCATCTGATAGGACTGGTGGGATACATCAGATAAGAGACAAAAGTGAGGCCATAGCTTTGATTGGTGTTGAACTGAACTGTATCATATGTTGAAGTCCAAAGGAATCAGTTGTTCTCATACTGAACTTATTTAAGGTCAAACAAAATCTGTGTAGGATCTGGTTTACTCATCCATTTCAGACCTCATCTACCAACAACCCTATTATTTACAACATTAGGTATGAAACAAGAAGATAAATTGCATTTTTTTTACTTTTTTTAAAGAGGCGTATGAACCACTTCTCCCTGCTTAATGTGAACTGAGGGATCTACTCTCGCAGTAGATTCAAAAAGTAGATTAAACTGGAATACACAAACATATTCAGAATATGCTAAAGATGTGCTGAGTAGTAATATTGCCATTAGTGCTCTCCAGTTAGCACAAATTAAAGACATCTGCCCCGGTCCCCAAGGACATCCATAGTGAGGCCTCACTTCTGCAGTGCATGTTGTTATTCACTTGGCCGATTTCCTGTCGTGAGAGAAAGAAGGAAAATAAAACTAAATGTGGTCTCACCTGAATTCAGCAGGTAGGCAGATCTTGTCTGGTGCCACAACCTCAGTGGCCACAATAACATCCCAGCTTTTGTTTTTTGCACCTGATGTGCCAGACTGTAGCTCAAATGTACTCTGTTTCTTTTGTTTTCTTCCTCCAGCTGTCTCTTCCTTTTGCCTTTTTATGTGTCAGTAGATATACAATAATATAACAATTGATAATGAAATTCAAGATATTTTTTTCAGCTTTTATGCCTTTATTGGTTGGGATAGCGAGCAGCTGGAGACAGACGAGGAAAGGGGGTAGAGGAGAGAGCGGGTTAGAGGAGAGAGGGGATGACACGCAGCAAAGGGCCGCAGGTCGGATTCAAACCCTGGGCCGCTGCAGCAAGGACTCAGCCTTGGTACATGGGTCGCCAGCTCTACCCACTGAGCTAACCGGGCACAATATTTTAATTTAACTTCCAGCCTTAAACCATCTTTAATCGAAAATCTAATGAGCACACAGTATATCAGCCTTAGACCGTTTAGTGTGTAAATATGGGGTTGATTTGTTTTGCATTGTGGAGATATCACAGACAGAACTCAGGATGCAAACCTCAGACCTCAGCTTTGAAACACTGCCTGAAGCACTTTTCTCTAATTTCAGATTGATGTCAGATTGATTGCCACCATTTCTGTGTGGGGGTGTTATGAAGCTGTGATTATGCGACATAGACCTCATCGCCCACAGCTAACCCATCAGAGAGGATTGAAAAGCGCTCCACCAGCCCACCATTTAGACTTGCGTGGCTTTGATGTTTTCAGTTTTTAGTGGCACAGGCCACACAAGTAAAGAGATGTCCTTTTCTTCTGCATGTTGCAATGAATTTCATGCAGATTGTGTGGCTTTTACTAAAAATCTATGCATCCAAGCATTCAGTGTGCTGCTTTTTGAAGCTGGTAAAACTGAAATCCTGTGCTTCGAAAGTTGTGGCTGCACATGGTAAGTTCTCATGGCAGTGGCATCTGTCTATCTGTTTGTCTGTCTACCACCTGTCTGAGCTACAGCCGTTGTGAGGCCATTGTGGGAAACATCTTCTCACGGCAGTTTGAATGGGCATCCGTACAATCCATCCATCTGTAAAAACTGCCAAGTCATAGCCAGACTCAGACGAGGTTCAACAGTTAAAGAGTGCTGGCACAGACTGTCTAGTCAGATCGAAAACATTGTTGATTGAACTAGCCACATTCAAATAGTTTCCAACCACACCAGGTACGTTACACCAGTGAAAGCACTCAAGTGATTTCTCATGTATAGTTGATATAAGCTGTTGAGCTCATCACTTTCATCCTCATTTTTAGCATATGTACTTGAGACTACAGTTTCTTTTCTACTTGTTTTTGTGCTGTGGGGACAGAAGAGCAAAGAAGAAAACTGCAGAAGGTTTTAGATTTCTCTCATTTTTTAATTGTTGTTATACCATTGTTTTTTATTCAGTTACAGCAGCACACGAGAAATACACAATGTATCAAATGTAAAAACACAAACACTCAAAAAACAGTATTTATACAAATATACAGTTTATACAGTGATTCGAGAAAAAAACGTGCCTGTCAGTATATAAATGAAATCAATATAAAACTGTAAAGACTGTTTTTGCTAACAAGTTGAAAACGTTAATGTTGCTCTGCTAGTAGCAAGTAATGCATGAGGAACAAAATGAAAAATACGATCACATCGAACTAGGCTCAGGTCTCAGGTTGCAGATTTTTAGGAAAATGTGCATTTATATTGAAAGGGCAGGAGTAGTATCAGTGTCTGACATGACAGAGGGACGTTTGGGAACTATTTTACTGAGCCCTCCTTTGCTCATACCACCAACACACAACTTCACAATCCTCAGGAGGTCTTGTCTGAACCGAACTCCAATGAAAACATACAGCAATGGATTCAGGCAGGCATGAGTGTATGCCAGGCTCTTGGCAACCTGTCCAGCTACATCAAAACCAATAACAGTTGCACATTCGGTCATAGTAGTATTAGCTGCCTGCGCAGCCTCCACTATCAGCAGACTGTTGTAAGGCAGCTGAGAGAGAACAAACACAAAGACCACAGCAAAGATGACACGTAGGGCCTTGTGCTTTTCAAAGCTCCTGGCCTGCAGAAGTGTGTGAATGATGACAGAATAACAAAAGAACATAATCAGTAGAGGAAGGCAGAAGCCCATGCAAATCTGCAGGCATAGCACCAGGATCTTAGTCCGGTTATTTTCGTTGTTCCAGTAGACCAGACTACAGGACTGCCCATTTTGGTCGCTCTTCACCTGGGCAAAGATAAACTCAGGGAGGGCCAGGAGAGTGGAAACAAGCCAGACACCCAGGCAGGCAAGTTTGCTGTAGAACAGCCTCTTTTTCTTCAGGTTCTGGGCCTTGGTGACTTGCACAATAGCAATGTAGCGGTCCACGCTAATGCAGGTGAGCAAGAACATGCTGCTGAAGAAGTTGATTTTATAGATAGCGGACACCATTTTGCAGAGAGTGATGCCAAAGTCCCAGCCCTTGATGGCATCGGCAGCCCAGAAGGGCAGCATGCACAAGAAGAGGAGGTCAGCCACAGCGAGATTTAGCAGATACACGTCGGTCATTGTTTTCAGGCGGTGGCGAACAGTGGTGTAGATCCAAACCACCATCAGGTTACCCACGGCACCAAGGATAAAGATCATCCAGAAGAGAGGTGGTTCGTACTGTCCACGAAAGTCCCTGACCCAGCTTCTGTCGCACATGCCTGTGTTTTCAGTCGGCCCTGTATCATAGTCATCTGAGTAGTCAAAAGGGTCCTGCAATCAGAAACATAAAACCAGATTATCTGATGTGGTGTTGCAAAAATGTGCAACAGATACACTGCTCTTTTTTTCTCAGTTTTCATTTCCTGTCACTGGTGTCAGCGTTTCACAACATAACGTGCTTCTAGTGTGATATGACATCAAACGCTGTCTGTGACGTACAAGTTAACCAGAGCGCATAAAGAACTGCTGTCAGGTGCAGGTGTTGTGTCTGTGCAGGAGAAACCACACCACTTCCTGCCGCTATCCAAGCCTGAAGGGGGTAAACGATCCCTAGGGGCTCCAGAAAGGGGCCCACAGCAGAACTCAGTACCCCCAGAAGCATCAAGTTTAGATTTAGGTCAGAGATAAACAGTGAGGGGGGGAAGCTGGGGCTTAGGTTTTCACAAACAATGGAAAATGTGATGCTCATTCGGCTGTGACTGTGGCATTTGAGTGTCCTATAGATGTCTGTATTAGATAAACCTACTGTACCTGGAGCATGAAATCATAAACATAACATAAACAAAAAAGAATACAAAATATATCATATTTCATAAAGAGCGCTGACATGGTTTTGTTAAGACAGCAACGCAGTTGTAAGTTTTACCATTGGGTATTAAAATCATACTTTATATATTATGGCATATACAAACATTGAGATGCACATGCACTATAAACACATTTTACAACCGATTCAATCATACATTAGCATTTTCTATATTACAGGTTAATTTTTTTTTCACTTGTGTCATGGCTGCAGATAAATATCCCAAATTAATACTTACAGTTCCAGTATAATTAATTTCTGTAGTCATAATAGTTGTAAATGCCTCCTCCATGTTATCTAAAAGAACCAGAGGATATAAACATAAGACAACACACCAAAACCTTGTAAAAACGTAACAAGACAAAAAAATAACATATGTAGAAAATTAGGCTTAAAGGCTCAATAGAAAATGTAGAAACTTTAGAAAAATAAATATTTTTAAGTCAGTGAATCACTTACCCACTCAGTGATGAAACCTCTCAGTCAAAGTTTTGTTTCTTTGTCTAGGTTGTTCAACTGGTAACTTCAACAACCCCGACCTCATCTTATATGGCTTCTCTTCTTGTGGTTAGATCACGTGATGAAATACATCACATCTGACAACTCTCACTCTAGATAGAAACATTATACTTACCCTCTGTGCTGCCTATGTCTTTTCCCAAATACAAGCTATGAGCTGAACAGCACTAATAAAACATTGATAACATTGAACCAGTTTCAAGGGGAAGCAGCAACTTTCTCACTGAAGTGTGGTCATCAGGCTGGAACCAAAACAATACACCCACATTCCTTCCACAGCGAAAGAGGTTTTATCGAGTCGAAGCTCGTTTTTGGCACACTTTGTGGATGCAGGTGGAGCACTTAACACCACAGATGATTGATGTATGAAACTGAAAACTGTATGGTGTGATTAAAGACCCAAGCCGGAGGAGCATAGTTGATTTTGAGATGTCAGCCCCACAGTTTCATAGCTAAGGCAGTGTGGTCTTGAGCCTAAAATGACTGCCCAAGCAACTATCGTTGCCCATAAAATGTCCTCTTGCGAAAGGAAGAAGTGTGTGAGGGAAGTCTTTTTGGGAGGTTTTTGGGCGATTTCACTTACAAATAGCGGTGATGACATGCCTTTGACGTAGAAAGACAACGACAACAGTAAAAAAGTAAAGTTGTTTTAGGAATAAGTCACCATTTTGGGAAATGCAATTATTATATATAATAATAATAATAATAATAATAATAATAATAATAATAATAATAATAATAAAGTATATACTATACTGAAGCCAAA